AAGTCATGGCACCGGGAGAAGGGAATGAGATGTCCCTTCTAGGGACACACTTTTTGAAAAGTGAGCTCTGATTCGTTCCTGGGTCCTGTGGGCGACGGCAGCCATTTCATTTTGGGGGTCAGAAAGGCATTTGGCAGAAGGTAGCACCGCCAGAAATTACCGTTTTCACGAAGAACCCGCCCACCTGTGCACGAAGACAGAGTGCAGGTCATTGGGGAACAGCATGGTGTCGGAGGAGGGGAGAGGGCACAGCAGGAATTGCACGAACAAGAGCTGTGACCTGTGGCTGCCTCTGGGGTCCAGAGTGTGCATAGCAGTGGAGCAGGGGCGGGGCGGGGGGGCGGCGAAAGTCGCCCGCTCCCTCCAGCAGCCCTGATGGGTCGGCTTCTTTTTCTTCCTCTTTTCCTGACCTTCTGGGCTCACTGCTGTTTCATCAAAACACGTGATGGCCCGAGCACATCCGAACCTGGCAAAACCTCAGCCAGGACGGCCGGGGACCCTCACCCGTGCGGGCAGGCACGCAGGTTGCGGGCAGGCACGCGGGTTCCTGGCGCCCCTGGGGTTGGAGGGAGCGGCCCTGCAGTGACAAGCTGCCTGCCCTCGGGCGGCGTGTTGGCTCCGGGGCGTCCTTTGTACTGACGGCCTTTCCTTCCCGCTCCTGCCCGCTGCTTGATGGCTTTGTTTCACCTGCTGACGTGAACTTGGCTGAAATAAGTGCTCTCTCAGCTGTGGGTGAATTAGTTGCATGTGTGATAGTACCTTTCTGCTGTGTTCTTATTATTTTCGAAGTTGTGTAATGGGGTAAGTATGTTATTTCTTTAGAATTAGAGACCTCTGCTCGGAGGCTTGGCGTTTACATAATTCCTCTCTCCTGCGGACCTCGCCATACACTTGATGGTTTTGTTCAAAGATGGATTGCGCGCGCCGCCAGCACATATGTCAGAAAGCATACTTGTTATTTTTGGAAGTAGGCAAGTTGCATTAATCGATTCTCTGTGGACTGATTGGACCTGCCTCTTCAGTACAAGAGTCTGCAGCGAGACCATGTTCTCGCTTGACATCAGTCCCTGCACCGCAACGTCACGCCCCCCGAAGCGGCAGGGGTGTCTGAAGTGTGCCCCCTAGTTGCTGAGTAGCCACCAACGCTCAGGTCAGTGGGCAGGTGCACCTGGGCGCCACCCGCGCCTCTGCCTCGTCTGCGCTTTGCACATCGTGTGGCTCTTCCGCAGGCTCGAGGGCCACGTGTTCAGCTCGTGTTCCCGCAGTTCTGACACCGCGGGCGCTCAGGACGCAGGGCGCGCTGGCTGGTGAGCCTCCCCTCAGGCTCGCCATCTGACAGCAGGGCTTGTCTCCCTGCCGCCCGCTGAGCGGCCCGCGGAGCCGGCAGCTTCGGGACCACTTGGCCTGTACGCAGGGGAACCGGGTCAGGTGCGGCAGAGGGCCTCCCCGGAGAAGTGGCCCCGCTGCCTCCGTGAGCTGCCTCTGCTGGCGCGTGGCCGTGTGTGAGGCTGCGTTTTCCAGAAACGCTCCACTGACAACGAAGCTGCCTGGAACATGCAAACAGACAGAAAAACAAAAGTAAGCATCAACTCAGGTGGCCTTAACTTGTAAGACTTCAGTTTTCATTAGCAGGTTTTTAGAACACAACCAACCAAAACGGTGGAGGTGGAACTTGCGGAGGGCGGGGCCGGTGCGCCAGCCGCCTGTGTGGGACCCTGCAGCTCTGGCTGCCGCCCTCACCTCGGCTTATGTTCCGGTTGTTGTCAAAACTCAGCCCAGGACACGGGTATGTAGGTGTGCGCCTGCGTATAGATACAGAGGCTATCGGGACAAGATAAGTATTTTTTATTATGTTTTTCTTCTATTTCCTTCCCATATACTCTCATATTTTCATTATAATTTATATTTCAAAGTTTGTCTTACAGTTGTTTAAGATGATGAGCCTAGTTTTTTACCTTATAAAATTTCCCTGTTCATCCAATTCATCTACTTTTGTATGGTTTCTGAGAGAAAAATCCGAACAGTTAGTCATTACTCCTCGCTGTGCTCACCAGGCCGCCTGCCTTCCCTCACGGCCCGGTTTCCTTCTTAGTTCTGTGGGGCTCAGGCCGCCGGCGGCACGGACATTCACCGCGCATGATTCTGTGCCTTCACGTGTGCCTTGGTTGCCACATAACCCTCCCAGGTGATGTTGAGATTTACTAATCAAGTTTATATTGGCAAAAATACAACCTTCAAAGTTCCAGTTCTGTTACAAAGAGGGGCCTTCGCAGCACAAAAACACGACTTTATTAGCTGCATGGCAGGGTGCAGGGCGGAGGGCTCCGTAAAGCCTCCTTCCGGGTGATGTCTGCCGCGCGCTGTTTAATCAAAGCGGGGCTGATGAGGCTTCATTAATTCTGCCATTGATAGATTACAGTTTAAACGACAAATAGATTGCCTCCATTTGGTCACGGTCCCTGAGTCCTGATGACAAAGGACAAGCTATTTGTCAGTTCAACTGTGTAATCATTCAGAAACAGAATTAATCAAGACGCTAATCACTTCGTGTCTCGCTAGACCCAGCCGATGAGTCCCATGTGCAGTTCGCGCCGGCGACCCTCACGCGGTCCAGATCGGAGCGGCGCCCCAGTGAAGGGCCCACCGCGGCGGGAAGGCAGAGGTGGCAACCAGGCCCGGCTCCCGTTAGAGCGAGGGTGGTGTCGGGGTCTCTGGGAGCTCCGTGGCGGCACCTGCGGGGCGGTTGCCCGTGTCGGCAAACTCGGGACGTGGTTTGTCGTGGCGCTGGGAAGGCTGTCGTGGAGGGGCACGTGGCCACAACGCCGGGCCTGGAAAGGCTGCGCTCAATGAAATCTGGGTCCGGCGCGCGGACCTCTTTGGAGCGATTTCTGGCTAGAGAAACAGTTCCTCTTAGAGTCTAACCACAGCGTCTCCCTCAGGCGTGTTTGAAGTTCAGGTGTGAAATTGTGCTTAACTAGAAAACCCTAAGGCAAAAAATAAATGTAATGGGTCTTTGACTGGTAGGCTCCTGGTGCAGAAGCAAACACAGGCTGTCTGGAGGGACGTCCCTCAGCCTGGGGTCGCAGGACTCACAGGTAAGGGCCACCACAGGTGACCTCTGGTCCCAAGTTCCAGGAACTGCTGAGGAAACAAGAGTTGTGAGTAGGAAATAGGAGGGACCCCAAATGGCAGCGCCCGACTTCCAAAAACTGAAGATCATGACTCATCAGATAAAGTCACATGCATGCCCAGAATATTGTTCAGTAGGCATAAGCAACATGAGTAAAAAAATATGATCGTATAAAAATGAAGCATCAAAAAGAATCAGATTACTTTTAGATATTCTAAATATGATAATGGAAATTAAGAAGCTAGTGATCCTATGAAGTAGCAAGTTATTCATACCTAAAATGAATTGATCAACTGATTTCTAAGAAAGTAACATAGAGTGTGATACAAAGAGGTGGAAAAGGTGAAGAGAGGTTAGCAGGCAGGAAAAATAGAGCCTATTGAACGTCTAATTGGATTGGTAACCCTTGTTCAAAGATAAATAAGGAACAAAGGCATATTCAGTCCAATGAAAACAGTTTACTCTCAACAGACCCTCAGAAGGTTAGGCAAGTAAGAAAGCACGAAATGTATAAAGCTGTACCGCGCTGACGATATAAAATAGTACGTGCATATTAGACACTGGAAAAGAGGGTATGTATGAGATGTTGCCGCCCAAGGACAAGTTAGTCGGTGGGAGGAGCGACGCAGATGAAGTTTAGATTGTGTTCGGTGTACGTGGTGACCACCTTCAGGGCAGCCAGCAGGAGAGCGGAAGTGGAGTTCGTAACTTCTGTAATCGTGCAGCGGGCACGAGCACTATCAACCGTGCAGGAACGTGTAGGGGAAGAAACTTGGAAAACAAGCTGGATAAACATCAGTGAACAAAATAAAATGCCAGAAACATATTCAAATATGCTGTTGATGGCAATGGATGTTATACTAATGATATAATAGTAACTATTATAACAATGTAATAAGTAGTAAATATTAAGGAGCAAAACTTGCTATCTTCAAAGAAGTGGTATGTATTTGAATTAAAAAAAAAAAATCCAGTTGTATGCTGTTCACAGGAGGCGTCCCTCATGCCCACGGCCACAGACTGGAAGTAAAAGATGGATATAACACTGGTTTTTTGGGCCTCATTTTTAACGGAGAAATAATCGACATAGAACACGGGGTAGTTTTAGGCCGGCGGACACGTGTTGACACATCGGTACATTGCAGTACGATCGCCTTCTAGTGCGAGCTGACACCCCATCACGTCACCCGTGCCATTGTGGTTTTCTGGGGCAGGGAGGACACTCAGTGTCCCGTCCTCAGTCACCCTCAAGTCACCCCACCGAGCTGCTGACGGTCACCATGGTGTGGCGCGCTGGCTGCCCGAAGCACACGCGTCTTCCTGCCACGGAGGGGCGCCCCCGCCCCGCCGGCAGACGCTCACTGCAAAACGCGTTACCATCAAGGTAAAGGGATTGTTACAGACAAAAAGGATCGCTTCAGGACGCTCAGGGCCCTGTTTCCCGGGAGTGCCTCAGCTTAAACGTGCACCTCTTGCACAAGCGCGTCCTGCGTGGGCCCCGGGCAGTGTGCAGATGAGCGACAGCACTGCCCACGGGAGGGGTGCCAGGTCGGTCACGGCACAGAGGTCTCGGGCCGTCCTAGCGAAGCCCGAGGCGCAGCCCCACTTCTCTGTGTCCACGCCGGGGGTTAACCATGAGACCGGAGGGAGGCCGGAGCCCAGGCCGAGGTGCAGGGTGACATAGGCGGCTTTTTGGAGCCTGGCGTTGCGCATGTGCGGCTTCCTGCGAGGCAGGCAGGCGGCCTGACGTGGGTCTGGGGCCCCCGGAGCCGGGGCTTGTAGGCCATCCTGCAGGTGTAGGGGAGGCTCTTCGCCCGAAAACTGAACCGCGCTCGCGGCCCCGCACTCACGGCCTCTTCCTTGCCTGCAGGAGAAGCCGTACAAGTGCTCCGAGTGCAGCAAGGCCTTCAGCCAGAAGCGAGGCCTGGACGAGCACAGAAGGACACACACCGGGGAGAAGCCCTTCCAGTGCGACGTGAGTGCGCCTCCCCGCCGGGAGCGGTGCGCGTGCGCGTGTGCGTGCGCACACTTGAGTGTGAGCGCCTGTCGGGTGCGGTGGCAATGGGCCCTTCGACCTCGTACACCTGGCACTTTAACATTACTAATCATTGTTCCTCCGATGCGTTTAAATAAGTAAGTACAACTTAACTTCTTCATAGCGCAGTACGCTGCTGCTTATTTATAACGTACACCACGCTGCTTTGCGTCGGACTCCTCCCTGTCCTCAGCAGACGGGCCGGTGCCTCTAGGCGTTTCCTGTGGCTGGGAAGGTGGAGCCCGCCCTCCCCACGCGCAGAGCGCATGCTTCTCTGCTTTCGAATTTCCACAACCTCTTCCTCCCCAGAGCCTCGGCCTTCTTCCCAGCACGTCCCCCGTTCACGGTGGCGCGGGAGGTGTGTCTGGGGGGTAAGTGTGCTGCCTCGGAGGAATTTCACATACATGCAATTTTGGTGACCACCACCGAAGTTGGAATGAAATTTTGGTGTTATAAGAATCCCACTTCACTTCCTTTTATGACCTGAGTGACTATGCCTTACATCTTCTGTGTAAATACAGTATTTCTAATCGGGTGGTCTCACGTCTGGCGAGCCAGGGTGACGCGGCAGAGCTTGAGTGAGGCAGCAGGCGCGACCCCTTCGTTACAGCAGGCGGTACAAAGGCCAGGGAAGGGCTGGAACGAGCGCAGGGCGCCCAAAGCAGGGCTACCCTCTCACTTCCCCAACAGGCGGGGTTGAGGGGTCGCCAGTGAGACACGTCTGCGGCCAGCAATGCCCTTTAGACTACAAGGCAGGGTAGGAGGTTAAATAGGCGGTTGTCAATAGGGCTCATTATGGGGAGAAAGGCACTGTTTCCAGGAGCTGCCTCCTCGAAGTGTCCACACACAGTGGCTGGGGACGGGAGCTGGGGCGCAGAGGACATGTGCGAAGGGCAGATGACTCCTAGGGACTGGGGTTCACTCTCCTTCGCCCTGAGCGGGGAGGTCAGCCCCACCTGTGTCAGGGGCAGCGTCGCGGGTGGGTCCCTCCTGACAGCGGGAATGCTGGGCGCCTGTGCTGGCCTGGGGAGCTGCCGTCTGTGGGCGTCTTGGTGCCTTGTGACCCGTGTCCCTGGGTGTCTTCCAGGTGTGTGACTTGGCTTTTAGCCTTAAGAAGATGCTGATCCGGCACAAGATGACCCACAACCCCAACCGTCCGCTGGCCGAGTGCCAGTTCTGCCACAAGAAGTTTACCAGGAACGACTACCTCAAGGTGCACATGGACAACATCCACGGCGAGGCTGACAGCTGAGGGCGGCCGGAGCCGCTGCGCTGGGCTGGCGGGCAGCCGGGTGGCTCTGGCCTGGCCAGCGTGGCAGGGGCGGCTGGTGCCATGCATGGCCCCCGCAGTCTCCCTGGCCAGCCTTTGGAGTCCGTAGACATGTATGCAGAAACAAAAACAAAAAGCCCCTGCTTTTTACCAAGATACGGTACAAATGCAAAACAATCGCTCTGTAGTCTTACAAAGTATGACTTGCGCTCTGTTCTTAGGAAAGAGGAAGGAGTGCGCGGGCCCTCCTTGGCCATGTCCCTAGTAAAGTTTACCCACAGGCCCCCATGAGGCCTTTTTATTTACTGTTACTTTTGCATGTGTGCCTGCTTTGTGCACCGGCTGGTTATTGCTGCTTTGGCCATAAAGAGATGGAGAAACCCGTGCTCGGCCGCGCAGGTGGGGACGAGGGCGGGAGCGTCCAACGCCCCCAGCGTGACAACAGGCTAAACCTTGCTGTGGCCGGGTTTTGTGAAACGGACCCAAGTTGACCCGATGTACCACCTCCCTCCAGCAGGCTAGTTTAAATAAAGAGGTACTTAAGAGTGGAAGCGTCTACCGAAACAGCGCTCATTTTCAGCAGAGCTTAGGCAATGGTACGCGCTCTCGTCGTTCCGGGGCAGACACGGGGCCCGGAGTCCTTGGATGAGGTCGATGCAAAAGCAACTGTCACACTTATCTGCTTACCAGATGGGGCCTCCTGAGTCTACACTCGTTCTCTTTAGAAATTACCCGCATGCAGACATGCGCACCGGGAAGGGAAGTGGAACAGGGTACCAGTGTTCGGGGCCGGCGGCGCAGCCCAGGGGATGTGCGGTGTCGGTAGCGACAGACCCCCAGCCTTCCCCTCCTGCTCCACGGCGCGCGTGCGGGTGGGAGGTCTCGGAGCAGTGATGTTCTGTCCAGAGTCCTGGCAGTGGCGGTTCTGAAACACGTGACTCACCCTCAGCCATCCTGGGTTAGTAGGGGTCCAGAACAAGAAATACAAACCAGGCTGGTGTTTGGGGTGAAGTGACCGCTGATGCTTAGGGGAAACGGGAGTGAAGAGCCATGTTTCTTGCTTTAGGTTGCAGTTCTGTAAAATATTTGAGGGCAACATAGAAGGAACAGCGTATGTGGGGAGAAGATAGGAGAACATGGGATTGCAATGTCAAGTAGCGTAGAGGGATCCAAAACCAAGACAAGTAAATGAATAAAATGCAGCCCAAATTCTGGGCTGCTCTCTCTGGAGCCCACCCCAAAGAGAGGAAGTGTGGTTCTGGGAAGCGCTTGGGTTCCCATGATTTAGGGAGAAAAGTTATTTGAAGACACCATTCCCTTAAGTCAGGGTCCTCATGTTAGAATTATATTCATGCTCAGTTCTAGTTTTGGGGGGAAGAAAAAAAGATTCAACATAGATATCCAAGCTCTGTAAAAATACTTTGAAACTCACCAGAGATGTTTAAAAAGCACACATCCCCAGGTTACAGGTTTGGAGGGCTCCAGGTGCACTTGTGTGTGGCATTTTGTGTCTGGAATTACAGCCTGTGCTTTAGGAGAACGGATGTTGGTCTCGTCTCTCCCGAGTCGTTTGTTTCCGCAGCGTGTGTGTAGAGCCTCGGTGTTTCCAGGGGGACTCGGCAGTGGGCTGATGTCATCTGAATATAAAGGGACGGCCGTGCCACTCGGCAATGCCTGCGTGCATCTTTGGGGGTCGCCTTCCCCAGCTGGGATGCTCTAAGCCTGATGACGCGACCAGCGTGAAACTTGAAAAGGAAGCCAAACACCGATTTTGTGCGACCTCAGTGACTCACAGTTGGCCGGGCTGCTAGGGAAATGACCCCCAAAGCCACATGTCACCGTGCTGCAGAGCGATGTGACAGGGAAGAGGTGCTGGCTCTGTCGGGCCGAGGGTTCGTAGTCGAGGAAACTGAGAAAAGGGTGTGGGAAGCCCCGTGGCCAGTCTTCCGGGGCCCGAGAGGACCCGCGGTGCTGTCACCTCCCGCCCAGAAGACGCTGATGGAGGGCACTTCACTATTAGCATTCGTGTCCTGCGACCATTCCCTCACCCAGCAACAAAGAAAGGTGACTTCTTCAGGTTTGATGGAGAGCGAAGAGCATGAATAGTCACCAAGGAAAAGGCTTCCGGGCAAGCTGCGGGACGGGGACCCACTTGGAAGACGTTCTCCCCTTCCTGCTGTGGAGAATGAGGCCCGCACACTCTCTGGGGAGAAGGACAAACCCTCGGGGACCCATGAAGTCAGAGCTCAGTCATTTTAAGAGGTGCCGCACAATACAGCGGGGTTCCCACACCCTTTGGTCATTATTAGCTTTGGGTATGGACATTCGAGGTATGTGTTCGTAGTGAATTCTTCCTGTTTCATCTCTGACTTACATTATTTTCCTTTCTTTTCTCCCCCTCCTCCTGCTCCTCTTAAGTTGTGGGCTAGGCAGGCGGAGTGCTTCCTCAATTAATTGTGAGCTGCGGTTGCAGCGTAAGGGTGTTCATTGCAGAGCCGCCCTAGGGGTTGCACGGGACAGTTCAAACGCTGCCTCTAAGAAACACCTATATCGTGTGTGCGCGTGCACACGTTCATGCACTTGGAGAGCTTTAAACAGAAATATCCTGAGTTTTAAAGAACACTAAGCATTTTCTTAGGTTTTTATTCCTGGAAAAATTCTAATGGCCTCAAAATGACTGTCCCTTACTGAATTTCAGGGAACCCAGAGTTTGAATGTATCTTTTAAAACAACCCTCAAGATCCAGGCTAAAATTATTTCTAATGTTTTTTTCCATGTGCTGCATGACAGCTGATTTTCACAGCCGGTGCGAAGTTGGGTAAGGAGCATTTTCCTTGCAAAGCTGAAGAGGGGAAGCCCTTAACTGCTTCCCTCCAAGAAAGTTCCAGTTACCAATGTCAATTGTTTTTACTTAATACAACATTTAATTGGTAAAGAGAAAGGGCTGCCCAAGGAGTCATGGGCCACTAACACCGTGACCCCGCAGGAAACGCGCCCGGCCACCCCGCCCTGCCGGCCCCGCCCTGCCTGAGCGCGGAGTGGCTGCAGCACCCCGGCCTCGCGCCCAGGGGACGGCCTGCCTATGACCCGTAATTGCTTTGATGGCCGTATTCTGCATCCTGAACACCCCTTGAGGCCCTTCAGTACGACTGCCAGATCCGATCAAACAAAATGCACAGAAGTCCTGAGAAACAAGTTTTATCACTGAGCAGCTCATTTGTTACATCTTGGCGTGGGTCGGGGGGCACCACTATTCCCAAAACACCACAAACACCTGGCAGAGCCCACGGGCCCCACGGCAGGGGTCCGACGGGTGGGAGGGGGTGTCTGGAGATGCACGTGGACAACGGTGGACGCGGGGGGCAGGGCCACAAAGCACAACATCATTTTTATAGCTCCTCCATGTCCTAACAAGTTTTTAGGCGGCTTAGGATTTTATTTGTGGAAATGTTTGACGAAGGCAGCTGGGAGCGTTACGTGACCGAGAACTTGAGAAAGCCTGCGGTGGACAAGGCTCCCTGCGTCCTCTGCAGGGTAATGTGAGGTTTTCACTCTTCGAAAAGATTAAAACAAAGTTTCCATTCAGGGAGGCTTCTCAGAGAGTGAACTCCACGCGTGTGTTCCTGCCGCTGGTCGCTCCCAGGTCGGGGCCTGGGGTCTGGGGTCTGTAAAAGGCGGCGCGCGCGGTCACCCCGCCGGCGCCCGCAGGCCTTCGCGTGTGCCCCGCTACCCCAGCACCGGACTTCGCCCCGCCTCCCTCCGGCCTGCGTGGCAGCCTGTGTCTCCAGCAAACCTCGGTTCCTGCCGCTTGCTTCTGTGCCCCGTTCCTGCCATCGTCAGTGTTTCCAGCCCGCAGGGAGATGTCCCCCAGCTCTGACGAGGACCTCGTTGGTCCACGCTGGGGACAGAACAGATGGGGAAGCAAGGGCGTGTGTGCAGTCGCGCGGGCCGAAATGCGGGCCTCTGCCACCAGTCACGGCTCACAGCCGCCGGCCGGGACGGGGCAGTGGCTGATGTGACCCCGTGCGCAGCGATCTGGAGCCGCAGGCCCGGGAGGGCGCGCCCCTTTGTGCTCGGCGCCTGCTGCGTGAGCGCGCCGCTTCAATGGCTGCTCCAGGAGCTCCGTGAGTCGGAGTTTCTGGGGCAAGTCCCCCGCCGTGCGGCGTCCTCACAGCCATCCATTTTGCTGGCTTCTCACCGGCAGTGCGTGTCACTGCCGAGACGAGCGCCGTCAGGAGGAGAGACGAGAGGGCTCTCACCCACAGCGCCCTGTGCCAGTGCGGGGTACTTCCTGCGCCAGGTGGATCCCCGGGGGTTAACCTGTTAGTTTGCCGTGTCTGAACTGGCTGCCCGGTAAAATGCCGTGGGGGGCGCGTCCCCTTCCCCGGTGCTGCTGGTGGGACGCGCGGCCCCGCCCTTTTGGATGCAGCCTCGGTGGGGTGGCCTCCCCTCAAGATGAGGCAATGCTTGGAGGGACGCTGTTTTTCTTCTAAAAGGTAACAGGACACGCCCACGTCCCACACTGGAGTAGGACAGACACAGGACAACACGCATCTCCGGAGCGTGCCTGCGTGTAAGAAGCATGGTCCCTGGGGGCCGCAGGGACCTGTCACCTTGTCTGTGGACAGCGGGTTCCTCCCTGTCCAAGGGACTGAGCCTCACTATGTGTCAGCACAGAGACTGCCACCAGTCTCCTCGCTCGGTCCACCCTTGGGAAGGTCACAGGCCACGTAAAGGAAGTGAGACGGGACTCCCACTCCCACTCCCTCTCACGCACTGGCAGTGGGGCCCAGGGCGCGGCCGGACCAGGTAGGTGGGTGGGTGGGCGGCCGGTTTCTACCACTGCACCTCTAGTCGCTTAAAAACTCTGTAAGAACCGTGCATTAGCAACAACACAGAAATGCAGTGAACACCACCGCAAGGCAGTAGTCACGCCCTCACCTCTTCCCAGGCCATCTCTGTGGCTCGCGTCACAGGAGACG